GCATCATCAAATGGTATAAAGTTGACATGAAATTGAATGCTACCAAACTAGTATGTTTGCTGATTATGTTACGTCTGTGTTTAAGAGAGGCTATTGAAATTAACAGATTAAGAATTAGGTCGAATGTGAGGAACGGTGGTAGAAAGTTGAGTAGGAATTAGTTATGCTTGATTGATGGATTGAAGGTGAGAGAGGGTGTTGGGTCGCCGGTCAATTTACGAAACTACTTGTCCTAACCTTTCAGTTCAGGGTCATTAACGCAGCACGTCATACCTTCCCTTGAAGGGTTAAACGTTAATGACCTTAGACTGAGCGGTTAGGACAAATGGTTTCGTAACTTGACTTACATGCTTACAAGCTCATTTCTCATCACCTCAACCATACTTGCTTACGGACTTACGCGGTCTCGGTCAGGGCGTTCTGTTGGGTCATTAGGCCTTGATGATCACAGCCTGACATTGGCCGAGTGATAACCCTGATTTACGCTCGGTGTTGCGTCTCTACGCTGACACAGAATTCTCATTCAAGAATTACTGACAGTTTCGAAAACTTCTTATCTCAAAGATACAAATGCAAAACCGCTTCATCGACAATCCCATTGGGAAAATCTGATTCTAAAGAGGCCTTGTTTGCCTTGAAAGCCCTGTCTACCCTTTGACCCTGTGATACCAGCCCGAGGGTAGTGTAGTGCTGAGATATCACGGCCGTAAAAGCACGATTTTGCTTATTAATTCGACTTTAAAGCATCAGTAAACTTTACATACGAACTCTATTTAGCCTTGGTAGTATAAACAAGTGAAGTAGGAAAGAGTGAATTTTCCCACAATCATGTTTCAATTAAATTTCCAATGACCTAGCCCTAAAAAAATGTATTCAAATCAATGCCGAAATGCAGCTTTCTTGATTGTCTGATGAGACGATGAGAGTAAATACAGCTGTAATTTAAGCTGAGATATTTGTTTTGACATCTACTTATTATGGTTATAAGTAGTTTTGGTCTATAAGATGTATTCACCCGATTTCGTTTAAGGTGATGAAGGACTGGTATAAGTAGAATTTTCCCACAAATGATATGAGTTGAGCTGACATTTTCATTGAATTTTACATAGCACTGCTTTCCCGAAAGTTGTTCTCATCCAGGGTTAAGTGCAGTTTCAACCTCGCATTGGTCTTATCAACACCCTCAGCGGGAGTCGAACCCTGACCCAAAAGGCGCTCGTGGCAGTGTAGCCGATTGGTTAGCGTGTCAAGCTACCATCCTGCACTGTCGCGGTTCGAATCCCGCTGAGCGTGTTGATAAGACCAATGCGAGGTCGAAACTGCAGTC